AGCAGCAGCAGCGGTAGCGAGGGTAGCAGCGGCAAAAGCAGCAACCGCAGCAGCAACAAGACCAACTTGGAGCCACTCTCTTGCAAACCATTTTGGAGGCGCTCAGAAGCACCAGAAGCCACGCCGGAGGCAGCAGGGCTTTCTGCAGTGCCTTCCTGCTGCTGCTGCTGCTGCTGTTGCTGATGCTGTCGCTGCTGCTGCTGCTGTTGCTGTTGCAGTTGCTGCTGTTGCTGCTGCTGTTGCTGCTGTTGCTGCTGTTGCTGCTGCTGCTGCCGCTGCCCGGCAGGGTAATGCGGTTGCAGCTCAGCACATTCAGCCGCTGCTGCTCTTTTGGGACCCTCCGCGGCCACAAACTCACCCAGGGGGTCCTTTTGCGAGATGAGTTTTGCTGCTGCTGCTGTTGCTGCTTCTGTTGCTGCAGATGCAGCTGATTTAGTCTCGATAGAAGAGAGAGAATTGCACACAAATGGCTCCGGCACGAGAAAGGATGGGCTGAACGGTGGTTCCAAACCTGCCGCGTCGATCTGCTGCTGCTGCTGCTGCTGCTGCTGCTGCTTCTCTTGTCGGGGTGGTGCTGGCGGCGAGGCTGGGGGTTTAGAGGCCCATTGATAGTGGTATCTGTTTGTTGCTAGCGGCTGCGGCTGCTGCTCATTGCGCAGCAGCAAGAGCTGCTGCTGCTGCTGCTGCAGTAGCAGCAGCTGCTGCTGCAGTTGCTGCTGCTGCAAGGCTTCCGAGTAAAGGCCTACGGGGGCCCCCAGCCCCAGACTGCGCCGCACAGAGTCTGTGAAAGAGTGGGGAAGCCTCAGAGCCCTCAGAAGGCCTGAGCGCCACGGGTTGCAGCTGTGGGGCCCCAGGGGCCCCAGGGGCCCCATGGGGCCCATGGACCATGGGGGCCCTAGGGGCCCCAGGGGCCCTACGGTTCTTAGGGGGCTTAGGGATCCCAGGGGGCTTAGGGGCCCCAGGGCTCCCGGGGGCCCCAGGGCTCCAAAGGACAGCAGCGGTAGCAGCGGCAGCTGCAGCTGCTGCTGCTGCACTTCCTCCAGCACAGCGTCCAGGGATGCATGCAGAGCCAACGCCTCCTCCCGAGCCTCCCGCAGCAAACGCCGCACACGGTAGCCCCTGAAGGCAGCCTGCAGCAGCAGCAGCAGCAGAGATAATCAAGAGAGTCAAATTCAAAAAATGCGTGTTCTGGATACACCATTTATATATATGCTGCACATGCTATGCGTACCAGCCATTTAATTCATATTTAAATGTACATATATGTATAATATATATATATATATAGATATACATATTTGAATTACATAAACTGTGTGTTTACACGCTGCGCATGCATTATTGTGTACATACACCGCACTTCTATACACTGGAAATTACTTATAAGAAGGCCACGCGTTGAAGAAGACGCTGAAGTTGTCAAAAATATATTTATTTTGCAAAAGAGTTTCTATTTTTGCATTTCGGCTTGCCGAGATTGCGGTGTACGTACACCGGAAACTGAGCTAGAAGCCGCGGCGTGTTTCCGGTGTACGTACACCCCATTATAGTTGAGCCGCAGCAGGGCAGCAAAAATACTTCGCAGCGAATTGAGCGCCCTTGTCGGATTTTAAGTCTAAAATGATATATTTAATCACTTATTGCATTCAAATGGGCTTTTGCATAAGTCTAAAATACATATTTTTGAGGCTTTGGGGGTTTAATGCACAAATTGAATTTTTGGAAATATCTTTGCAACACGAAAGCAGGTGTACAGACACACGAATGCACACTGCGCATGCAAAGCACTGCAGCATTTTTTTGCTGCAGAAGTCTGCAGCAAATAAAATGCATAAATTTACAATAAATTAAATGTTCGGAATAAATATACTTATTTATATTTCTTGCGGATGCATGGCTTTGGGCCGAGTGCAGCAGAAGTTGGAAAAAGGCGAGGTGAAATAGAATATTTTAAACCAAATAGTGGTCACAAATGAGGAGGAAATGAAGTAATAAAACAAATAGAATAGTAAATAATCCATGATAATAATGGTAAACTCCTTAATGCATTTGTGGCAGAAAGAAACAAACAGACAGCAGATGAATGCGCCTAGAAAGCAGCGCCTGCGTTTCTCTGGGGTGTACAGACACCTGGGGCCCCACAGCAGCAGCTTCTGCTGCCGCACCTGTATCTTTGCTGCTTTCTGGTGCTGCTCCTTCTCGCAGGGCAGCAGCAAGCCACTGCGCCGCAGGCGCTGCCTTGCTGCTGCTCCTCTCCAGCAAGCCTGCAGCTGAAGCATGCGTTTTCTGTGCTGCTCGTTCTGCGGCAGCAGCAGCAGTAGCAGCAGCCGCTGCTGCGTGAAAGTCTTCCTAGCAGCGTAGGCTCTCCACGCGGCTGCTATGCGGGTGGCTGCAGCAGCAGCAAGGCGCCTGCGGGCTGCTGCGTGCTGCTGCAGCTGCTGCATCGCCAGCAGCAGCAAGGCTCTTTGCTGGGCAGGGAAGACAAAACCCTCGCACAAGGCCGCGAGTTTCGATGCAGCCTGCTGCCTCCGCTGCTGCTGCTGCTGCTGCTGCTGCCGCCGCCGCTGTTCCCGCTGCTGGTGGCGCCGCCAGGCTCGCTGCAGCAGCCCAGCAGCCCGCTGCCGCTGCAGCGCTGCTGCTACTGCTCGTGAGAACTGCAGCAGAGCAGCAAAGGCCTGCTGCTGCAGCTGCTGCCTCGCTCTGCAGCACCAGGCGTGGAGGCGAGAGACCAGCAGGCGGCTGCGCTGCAGCAGGAGCAGCAGCTGCTGCTTTTGCTGCTGCTGCTGCCGCAGCAACTGGCCAAAAGCATCCTCCCAGGCCATCTGCGGCAGCTCTACTTTTTCCTGCTGCTGCTGTATGTACACCGCGCGACTCCGCCGCTCCTCCGCCTCCATCTCCCGGCGCTCTCCCCTGCAGCACTCAGCCATTTGTGCTGCAGCACTTTTGACTTTTTCGGAAATTACACCAGTTTAACAGCTCGCCAGGCTTCAAATTAATGCCATTTAAAAAAGCTTAAGTGGCTAAAATCGAAGCCGGGAAGCATTTAAATGTTTGCATTTTGAGCCAAAAAAAGCACTTTAATTTTGCTGCTGGCCAAGTCAATTGGCTGGGGAGTACGAAAACTGCAGCAGCAGCAGCAGCAGCAGTAAGTTGTCTTTATTTGTTTATTTTGGCTTTGCTGCTCTTCTGTGTGTGGAGCCTACTCTGTTCTTTCTTCAGCTTCAAATGCAAATTGTCTTTGTCGAATTTCTTCACTCGACATCAAGTGGCGCTCTTGCTGCTCCCGAGACCGCGACAAAAAGCTAGCAAAAGCGCAGCAGCAGCAGCAGCAGCAGCAGCAGCAGCAAAAGTCAGGCCAGTGGCAATTGTGAGAGTCGCAGCAGCAGAAGCAGCAGCAGCAAAAGTCAGGCCAGCAGCAATTGTGAGAGTCGCAGCAGCAGCAGCAGCAGCAGCAATCGCAAGAGTGGCAGCAGTAACGGTAGTGACAGCAGCAGCAGCGGCAGCAGCAGTGGGAGCGCCAGCAGCAGCAGGCATACAGCAGCAGTACTGAGGACAGAACCAGCATGAGTGATAAGACTAGCGAAGGCAGCAGAAATTATAGCAGTAACAACGATTATACGAGGCGGAGCAGTAAATGCGGCAGCAGCAGCAAATGCAGCAGCGGCAACAAATGCAGCTGCAACAGAAGAGTGGCAGCAGCAGCAATAACTGCAACAGAAACAGCAGCAACAATATTCACTGAAGCAGAACGGCAGAAAAGGAGGTAACCACAGAAGCCAAAAGATTAGCAGCAGTGACAATAAGAGCAGCAGCAGCAACTGCAACATTAGAAGCAGCAGAAGCAGCAGAAGCAGCAGCAATAGCCAGAGCAGCAGCAGTCACGGCTGGCCTGCCACCAGCAGCAGCCCAGCAGCAATGGCAGCAGCACAAAGAGCAGCGCCGCACAAGGTGGCCCACCTAAGAGCAGCAGCAGCAGCACAGCCAGAGCAGCAGCAGCAGCAGCAGCAGCAAATGGGTCTGTTAGCAAGTTCAGGTGAACCAGTGTGGCTTCACTGACCTAAAACCCACTGCAGCAGCAGCAGCAGAAGCAGCAGCATCAGGAGCAGCAGGAGCAGCAGAAATAACAGGAGCAGCAGGTAGCACAGGAGTCGCGGGAGCAGCAAGAGCAACAGAAGATGCCGATGTACACGTCTTGCTGCTCTTCTCATATGGCCCCACAGAGCCCAATTGCGGTTGCTGCCGCTGCTGCCTCTGCTGCTGCTGCTGCTGCTGCTGCTCCCGTTCTAGGACATTTTTCGCTGGATCAGCAAATGCTGCAGCAGCATTAGTACCTTTCGCTGCACCCGGAAGGGGCAGGCTGCCTTGCTGATGGCGTTCCAGTTGTTGTTGCTGTTGCTGGGTCTCTTGCTCCCTGTGCTGCTGCTGCTGCTTCTGCTGCTGCTGCGGCTCTATTGGAGGCGCACTTTCTGAAGAGAGAGGAGCAGAAAGATGCTCTGTTGCTGAAGCAGCAGTGGCAGCTAGCGATTGGCCCGCTGCTGCAGCAGCTGGTGCTGCAACTATTGCTGCAGCTGTTGCTGCAGCTGTTGTTGCTGTTGCTGCTGTTGCTGCTGTTGCTGCTGCAGCAAAAGACACAGCGTGTGCTGGTTCTGGGGGCAGAAGGCCAAGCTGTGCGTACAGCTGAGTTCTTCTTCTTTCTTCTTTAAGTGTCTCCTTTTGAATTCGTCTCTTGGCTTTAAGCTGCAGCTGCTGCACCTTGTGCTCGTGCTGCTGCTGCTGCTGCTGCTCCAGCAGAGCTGCTGCTTGCTGCTGCTGTTGCTGCTGCTGCGCCTCCTCCTCCACAGCAAGCAGGGCCAGCTGCAGCTGCTGCAGTTCCCTTTTTGCCTGCTGCATCTCTTGCGGGTTGTTGGGGTCTCTCCCCTTCATGATAAACACCTCAAGGTTATCTCTGCTGCTATCTGCTGCTTCTGCTGCTTCTGCTGCGGCTTCTACTTCTGCTGCTGTTGCTGCTTCTGCTGCGGTTTCTGCTGCTGCTGCTGTGTGGTCTTGTGACGTCTCTTTCCCCTTACATTCAGGTTGGTTCTTTCCCGCCAACGTCATTGCGAGTTGCTGCTGCTGTTGCTGCTGTTGCTGCTGCTGCTGCATGCCTGCAGGAGCTGAGGAGGGAGGCACAGCAGCAGGAACAGCAGCAGCAGCAGCAGAAGCGGCAGGCTCCTCTGAGGTAGAAGACAGGGAGAGCGGATGGTCTGCAGCAGCGCCTGTCTTTGTGTGTTCCTCTGCATTGTCTTCCGCTATTGGAGCAGTCTCTGCTGCTGCTGCGACGTCTGCAGCAGCAGCAGCAGCAGCAGCAGAAGGCGCTGCAGGCTGCAGCACAGGCGGCTGCTCGAGTTCATATTTTTCTGCCTCCCTCTGTCGTTGTCTTTGCTGCAGCCGCAGCAGCTGCTGTTTCTGCTGCTGCAGCAGCTGCTGCAGCTGCTCTTGCTCTTGCCGCTGCAGCTCCTGCTGCTGGCGCTCCTGCTGCTCCAGCTGCAGCTGCAGCTGCTGCTCCTGCTGCTCCTGCTGCTCCTGCTGCACTCTTTTATAGTCCGTGAGGCCCTGCAGCGCTTGCTGCAGCTCGACCGATGTTGCTGCTGCTTCTTCAGCAGCACCGCTGAGCTCTTGCTGCACCTGTTCGATAAAGAGCTCGAAAGGGTTTGGCAAACCCTTTTCATCTTCAGGCTCTGCTGCTTCTGGCTGCTCGCCTGCTGCTGCTGCTGCTGCTGCTGCGGGTGCTGCTGCTGCTGCTGTTGCTCCTGTTGCTACGGTTGGTCCTGCTGCTGCTGTTGCTGCTGCAGCTGGCTCTGCATCAAAGGGCTCCTCCAGAGCCTCGAAGGAGCCGCAGAAAACGTTTGAGTCCATGCAGGAAGCTGCAGCAGCAGCAGCAGCTGCTGCTGCAGCAGCTCGGTACCCCAGGAGGCTTTCAGGAATAGCAAAGGAAGGAGGGCCCCCAGCTTGTTTGCTGCTGCTATTAAAATACAATTCTGTGTCGTTTAGTAAGTTGTCGAGCTCCTGCTGGAGCTGCTGCTCCAGCTCCTGCTGCTCTAGCTGCTGTTGCAGCTCTTGCCGCAGCTGCTGCTGCGCTTCCAGCTGTTGCTGCTGCAGCTGCTGCAGCAGCAGCGCGTCATCAGAGGCACTTACGAAGCCGCCCTTCATTTTCTTTTGGGCCTGGAGTGACGAGGCCTTGCTGCTGCCGCAGCAGCAGCGAAAGCCTGCTGCTGCAGCGACAAGAATTCGTGCTGCAGCAGCAGCACTGAGAACCCGCTGCAGCAGCAGCAACAGCAGAAAGGTGGCAGCCGGGGGCCACCGCAGCAGCCGAGAAGTCCATCTGAAGTCGCTGTGCCGTCCCCAAACCCTAAACCCTCAACCCCACGCCCCAAACCCCAAGCCCTGGGCTTTCTGCGCTGCCACTGCTACTGCCGCTGCTGCTGCTGCTGCTGCTGCTGCTGCTGCTGCTGCTCGCCCTATCCCGCTGCGCAGAGGCCGCTGCTGGGTGCGTTGGCTCCTTAAATGCATGCGCCAAAGGCGCCGCGTATCCTTTTAAACCTATTTATTTGTTATATTATTATTATTAATTACTTAATTAATTAATCAATAATCAAATAAATAAATATATAATTCATTCATCGATTTGCTTTGCATGCAGCACACCGTTCACACTGCGGCGCTGCGCGGAATGAAAAGACTATTTCTTATTAATTTGATTTTATTTATTTTTGATATTTTTAAAACTCTTTTTTATTTCTTTTCTTTATTTACAACACAAAAGGCCGCAGCTGCTTTTTGGGTCCATTCATGCCCATGTTTGTTTATTATGGAGCCGCAGTGTTAAAAATAAATATATAAATGTTTAAATTAATAACTAGATAAGTATATTTGTGGAGAAAGAAAGTAAAAATATATTCAAAGAGTGTCCCTGGAGGGCAGCTGCTGCTGCTGCTGCAGCAAAGTCTGCAGTAGCAGGCAGAGCGCTGGCGCAGATATGCACTTGCCTTCGTTTCTTTTTAAGAGCTAAAATGATACTCCTGCTTCCTCAAGGGGTCTAGGGTTTAGGGTTTAGGGTTTAGGGTTTAGGGTCTAGGGTTTGGCCACAGAGAGGAGGGGTCGCTGCACCTAGGCGCGCGTGGGGAATTGCCGGCAGCAGCAGCAGTTGCGGGTGCTGCTGCTGCTGCTGCTGCTACACCTCTTGTAGGCTCTGCTACAGCAGCAGCAGCAACAACAACAGCAGGGGAGACGGAAGCGCCACTTGGACCGTGTCTGTCCGTCAGCTGCTCGTTTTGTGTCGTTGTTGCTGCTGCTGCCTCCACTTAGACTTAATTTTAAGCCCGAAGCAGCAAAAAACAAATATGAATTAGAGCAGCAGCTGCAGCAGCAGCTGTCTGCAGAGAGCCACCTGCTGAGGTGTCTGTACAGCTCCTGTAACACAGCCCCCACCTGCGCTGCTGCCGACCCTCGTTCTTCCCCTTCTGGCGAGTTCAGAAGCAAAATAGGAATAAAATATTAATTAAATATGTTTAATTAACCCAATTTATATGTATCTGTTTCAGTTAAATGCGAAACAGCGGGCTCTTTGCCGCACTTTCTACCAGGAGTGCTGCCCACCACCGGGGCCCCTCAGCCCGTAGTAGTGGGACGTTGGGGTCCTTCTGGGGCGTCTTCTTTCGATCCCTCGGAGTTTGTTTTTCTTTGCATTTATTTTAAAGAATTTTTTTTTGAAATTGATTTAATAAACCCTAAACTCGCTGAAGACGAAGCGCAGCCTCTGGACGCTCTCCCTGTGTGGAGTTCGCGCTGCTCTTTCGGGTGTCTGCGCAGACACCCCAAGTGGTTGCAGTGCATTCGGAGCTCCTTTGCGCTATCCAGCCCGCCATTTCTTTAAAAAGAGTAAATTTTGGATTTAACTTTTCTGAAGAAGACGAATTAGCCTGGCTGCAGCAGCAGAGCCCTGTGCTTCCCGCGCTTCCCGCCCTCAGCGGCGCCGCCGCCGCCCCCCGAAGCCCCCCAGGGCCCCCCAGGGCCCCCGAAGCCCCCGAGGGGCCCCCGAGGCCCCCCGGGGCCCCTCGAAGCCCCCCCGGGGCCCCCCTGTTCCCCCCGGGGCCCCCGGGCCGCCGCGGGGCCCCCCGGGGCCCCCGAGGGTCGAAAATGGGCATTAAAGGCCTCACGAAGTTCCTGGCGGACCACGCGCCCGGCGCGCTGCGGGTGGAGGCGCGGGCCTCGCTGCTGGGGCGGGTGGTGGCGGTGGACACCTCGATGGCTCTTTACCAGTTTTTGACTGCAGTGCGGGACGCGCAGACTTTGGGGAATTTAACGGATGAATCTGGCAAAGTCACCAGCCACCTCGCCGGCATGCTCTCCCGCGTCACCAGGTCTGCTGCTGCTGCTGCTGCTGCTGCTGGTGTTGGTGGTTTGCTGCTGCTGCAGTGCTTCGCTGGCTTTTGCGCGGTGGGCGTGGGTTTTGCTGCTCGCGCTGAGCGCAGCTGTCTTTTTGAGCGCAGCTGTCTTTTTGCTGCTGGGAGAAGTGCTGCGCTCGCTGGGGCGCGAGACAGCCCTGTGCTGCTGCTGCTGCTGCTGCTGCTGCTGCTGCTGCTTAGGATGCTGGAGCAGGGGATTCGTCCGGTGTTCGTGTTTGACGGGGAGGCGCCTGAGGAGAAGGCGACGGAGCTGGAGCGCCGGCGGGAGCGTCGGGAAGCAGCAGCAGCAGCAGCAGCAGCAGCAGCAGAAGCGGGCGACGCAGCGGAGCTGCGGAAGCAGCTGGCGCGCAGCGTGCGAGTGACACGGGAACAAAACGAAGACGTGAAGCGGCTGCTGCTGCTGCTGGGGCTGCCGCTGCTGCAGGCCCCGGGAGAAGCAGAAGCTCAGTGTGCTGCACTAGCTCGCGCAGGCAAAGTGTGGGCAGCAGCAACAGAAGACGCGGACGCGCTGACCTTCGGGGCCCCCATTTTGCTGCGCAACCTGACCTTCAGCGACAGCAGCAGCAGCAGCAGCAGCAGCGCAGCAGCAGCGGCAGCGGGGGGGCGCGGGCAGCCCGTGGTGTCCATACACCTCGACGCCGTGCTGCAGCAGCTGCAACTCAGCATGGACCAGTTCATTGACTTTTGCATTTTGTGCGGCTGCGACTACTGCAGCAGCATCAAGGGTGTGGGGCCCCGCACTGCGTACCAGTGGATAAGAGACAGGGGCAGCATCGAAGCAGTTTTGGCTTCTTTGAAAGGAGACAAGTTCCAAGTCCCCGACAACTTCTGCTTCCAGCGCGCCCGCTGCTGCTTCAAACAGCCTGCTGTTGCTGCGCCCCACACCCTCGCCTTCAAATGGGCCGACCTCGACGAACAGGGACTCAAGCAGTTCCTCGTCAATGTCAGCAGCAGCACCAGCAGCAGCAGCAGCAGCAGAGCAGCGGTAGCAGCAGCAGCAGCGGTGGCAGCAGCAGCAGCAGAGAAGCGGTGGCAGCAGCAGAGCAGCGGTAGCGCAGCAGCAGCAGCGGTAGCAGTAGTGGCAGGAGTAGCAGCAGCAGCAGTGGTAGCAGCAGTAGCAGCAGCAGCAGTGGTCGCAGCAGTAGCAGCAGCAGCAGTGGTAGCAGCAGTAGCAGCAGCAGCAGTGGTAGCAGCAGTAGCAGCAGCAGCAGTGGTAGCAGCAGTAGCAGCAGCAGCAGTGGTAGCAGCAGTAGCAGCAGCAGCAGCAGCAGCAACTGCTGCTGCTAGCAAGATGAGGCCCTAGCTTATTGAATTTGTATGCTTTTTTCTCGATTTCTTCGCTCCTTTGTTTCTTTCTGCTGCTGTTTGTCTCCTTCCCTTTGTCTCCCTCCATTTTGTCTCTTTTTGCATTTAAACTTGAAATTAGAAATAATTTATCGAAATACATTCAACTTGTGGCACTTGTGCAGGAGCGCACCTTCAGCGAGGCGCGCGTTGAGGTGTACATACAGCGGCTGCGCAAGGCGCGCGGACTCATCACTCAAACTCGATTAGAAAACTTTTTTGGTGCTGCAGTTAGCAGGCCTTCGGACTTGGCCCGCAAGCAGCAGCAGCAGCAGCAGCAGCAGCAGGGCAGCAAGCGCGGCAAGAGGCAGCAGCGCGCTGCGGCTCCGAAGGCGCTGCCGCCACCGGCCAAACGCAGGGCCAGCAGCACCAAATGACAACACGCAGACTTTTAACTCATTTACTACTTATTTATTATTCATTTATTGCTTATTTATTGTTTGTTTTTTTATTTATTTCGCTTCTTTTTGGTTGTTCATTGGTTTCTTTCCTCGTTGCTTCCCCGTAGCGAGGCCCCTGGGGTGTATAGACAGCTCCTGCTGCATCTA